TAAAGTTTTCTGTCTTGATGTGCAAAGTTGAACCAAACACCGCCACGTTATGGTAATGTTTATTAAACAATACAACCAATTTTAGTCAGTTCAAAGATGAGTACAGTGTAAAAATTGTACATTTGAAGTTTGCCTTTCTTTTGTTCTTCTCCTGTTTAGAGTCTGAATTCTGTTTTATTATATCCCCGCAGTGGTGTGTGCTGTGGAGGCTCTAGCTGGACTGGTTGTTGGGAAATCCTTGCAGGGGATTGTGAGCGACTTCCGTGGATTCTACCGCCTCCTGACCAGTGATAGCCAGATGAGATGGGTGAGAACAGGGACTCAAGCACTGAAAAATAAAATATAAATAAATGTGTGAACTGTTTTTACATATGATATTGAAAAGACTTGCATGTACTTGAATCTAGTTTCTAAATGTCCCCAAGTCCTGATCAAGACTGATGGGCCAAGGCAAATACATGTGCCAATTCCAGGCTTTTCAAAAAGTAATATAAAGAAGAGGCTCTTGAAATAAAAATAAAATTCATTCATAATGAGTGCAAAGGGTATCAAATTAAAAACATCTACTTTCTGAAGGTCCCAATAGCCGCTTTCACATCAAGTTATTTGCCGTACTTAGTGCCGGCACTTAGTTAGTAGGCCTACCCCAGGGCACTAAGTACCAATCGCGTTCACACCGGAGTACTTTTCCCTGAGGGAAGATTACGCAAATGAGCCGCTGACGTCACTTCGTCTTCTTCTGCTTTGGGTTTACTGGCAGGCCGCAAACAACTTCACGGCGTATACTGCCACCCGAAGTCCCCGGAGTTGGGGACTGGCTTCACTAGAAGCTGCTGGGACTCCCAGCAGCTTCTACTGAAGCCTTCCAAGTAAATCGCCAGAACGCCGACACCTCCTCATCACTCCACGGCTCCCATGTTTTCTTTTGTGTTGCCATAAATTAGTCTCTCTGCGTTTGTGCGCTGAGCTAATGCTAATAAAGGATAATAAAATGGCGGCTTCACAAAACTTTTTTGGAGTTTTACGGGCGTGGTTTGCATTCCGCCCAGCCAATCAGACATAGGAACCTTTTTCTCCCACGAAAGTACCTGCTCTCTAGCAGGGACGGAAAAGGGGGTAAAAAAGGTTTTGATGAACTCATTTTAGTTCCGGCTCTTTTTGGTGTGAACGCGACATTTCGGAACTATATCGGAAAAGTATAGTACTGCGGTGTGAACGCGGCTATTGTATTTGCTGGCATTAGCATTATTAGCATTAGCCCCGTGCACCAACCGAGAGAGAGAATAGGCTTGTTTGACATGAGCTGCGGCTAGGGTTAGCAGCTTCTACTGAAGCCAGTCCCCAACTCCGGGGCCTTCCGGCCGGGGACTTTAGGTGGCAGTATACGCCATGAAGTTGTTTGCGGCCTGCCAGTAAACCCGAAGAAAAAGTGACGTCAGCGGCTTCATTTGCCTAATCCTCCCCCAGGGACTTATTCCGGTGTGAACGCGATCTGTTTTAGTTCATGAGAACTAAAGAGTTCTCATGAAACTTTGTGGGAAAAGTACTGCGGTGTGAATGCGCCTAATGGCGGCTTCAAAAGCTTAAGGGGCGTGGATTGCAATTCGCCCAGCCAATAGAAATTGGTACTTTTTTGGTACCACCTCTCTAGCAGGCACTACAAATGGGGTAAAAGTTCCCGGCACTAAGTACTCTTTTTGGTGTGAACGCGACATAAGGGGTACTAACGGAACTAAACGGGAAAAGTATGTGGAAAAGTACTCCGGTGTGAACGCGCCTATTGTCCTGGTTAAGAGAAGTAGAATGGGCTCTTTTGATACAAAGAAAAGCAATTTATAACGTTTACAAAAGGTTATGTGAAATAATAACCTTTAGTGTGTGAAGGTCCCAAAGGCCTGGGTAATGATAGTATAGTTAGAAAAAACAACATAACTCTCTAACTACATCATTCATTCACAGGTTTTAATTTTAGATTTTAGTTTTTTCCCCAATATGCAAAAAATGTTACCCCAATTTGGATGCACAACCCATGTAATGTTAAAAATGGTTGTGTTATCTAGCTAGGCCCAGAGAAAGGAGTGATCCAGCTGGCCACAGCTGCAGTCCTGAATGCTGTGTGGGACCTGTGGGCGAGGGCAGAGGGCAAGGTCAGAACTTTTTTGATGAGTCATGATTAGAAAAACTCATTTTCCTTCACAAGCCTCCTGACTCATCGTGTATTTTTCCTGCAGCCACTGTGGAAGCTTCTTGTTGATATGGTGAGTCATGGGAAATTTGATTTACGTCCAGGATGTGACCACAAGGGAAATATCATGATTTCTATGTGTCAATTTAGAATCCCAAGCAGGTTATCTCATGCATTGACTTCAGATACATCACTGACGCTCTTACAGAGGAGGAGGCTCTAGGTGAGACTGATCCAGAAAATAAATCTATTTTCCTGAGTGCAGTGTAGTGAAGGAAACACTCTATCTGCTTCTCTTTCCAGACATACTCGTGAAAGCACAGGAGGACAAGCAGCACAGAGGTGAGCACACTATCAAGAGTCATTAATTACATGGCTGAATGGGATTTTGCAGAGCGAAATTGCCTCTTTAGAAACTACCAGGAGTACTTTAAGCATGCATAATAGGTCCCTGCACTTCATGGTCGCTCTATTAAAACACACTTCTCCTCAGGTGTTTATTAACTGTGTGCTTCTCTCGCCCCCCAGAGGAGGAAATGCTGAAAGAGGGTTATCCTGCTTACACCACTTCCTGTGCATGGCTCAACTACCCAGACCAGCAGCTCCAACAGGTCTCTGGGCCATAAAATACCAATAATATCTCAGGTTTAACAAATCATGAAAATAACAATGACAGTTGTGTGTTTTTCAAGCTCTGCACAGATGCTCTTAAAAGTGGTTGGACTAAATTCAAGGTGAAAGTAGGCGCTGATCTACAGGACGACATACGCCGGTGCCGCCTTATAAGGAAAATGATTGGGCCGGAAAACACTTTGGTAATGTTGGTTTCCCCTAACCAATTGTATTTACATTAGACACAAGTGTACTAGTTATGTGTGTTTTTGCATTCAGATGATTGATGCCAACCAGAGGTGGGATGTAGCCGAGGCCATCAGCTGGGTGTCCAGCCTGGCGGAGTTTAAACCTCTCTGGATCGAGGAGCCTACGTCTCCTGATGACATCCTGGGTCACGCTGCTATCTCCAAGGTGAGAGAGAACACACTCACACAGTCACCCATATGGAGAAAGAGACCAAATCCTTCTCTGTGGTTCTTTGTGTCCGATTGTGGTATTTAATGTTGTGTGTGTGTGTGTGTGTGTGCCTTCTGCATCTATTTGTGGCCATTCATTCTCTTTTTGGTCATGTTGTCACATAGTGGGATTTTTGTTCATGTTCGCATCCCCTTGTGGTTGTAATGTGTCCGTTTGTCTTTTTTTATTTCATTGTATTGGTCATGTTTCTTCTTTTTGTATTTGTTTTTTTGTCCCGTTGCCTGCCTGGACCCCTGGGTCTGTGCCCAGTTGGCCTGATCACTAATCTATTTAAGTAAAAGACTGATAAAAGATGTTCTGTCGCTTCAGGCTTTGGCTCCTCTCGGGATCGGAGTGGCTACAGGAGAGCAGGTCAGTGTTTGTTCCAGTGTACATACCACCGGCTGATGAATTGATGGTTAGTTGGTAACTGTTTCCTCTGCAGTGTCACAACAGGGTGATGTTTAAACAGTTCCTCCAGGCCTCGGCCCTGCAGTTTGTCCAGATAGACTGCTGTCGGCTGGGCAGTGTCAACGAGAACCTGGCAGTGCTGCTGATGGCCCACAAGTTCCAGGGTATAAACAAAGACATGAATTCCCAAATAATCATATATGTAGCCCTAAAAAAGACAATATGAAGGTTTAAAGTCTTAAATCTGCCAAAAAGAAGTAAAAGGTTATTAGATATGTAAAAAATATAACGTTTTTTACCATCTGATTGGAGGTCAATGTAAAACTATGAACTACATTTGTACTTATTAAAAGGATTTCTAATTTGTGTATTCAGCATATTCTTAGTGTGATATCTGTATGAAAAGCATGGCTACATTACACATACTATGTTTTTCCCATAGTGCCTGTGTGTCCTCATGCTGGAGGCATCGGTCTCTGTGAACTCGTCCAGCATCTGATTCTGTTCGACTACATCTGTGTGTCTGCAAGCCTCAGCAATCGGTAAGAGCAGGCTTTGCTTCTGTCACAATTAAGAGCTCTTGACTGTAAGTGATTATTAATTTATAACCAGCACTATTTTTCCTCCCCATCTCTTTCTAGAATGTGTGAATATGTGGACCACCTGCATGAACACTTCACCAGTCCTGTGGTGATTCACGACGCGTGCTACATGCCTCCCAAGGTAAGACGGACAGATGCCAACTATAATTTAACATCTGAAAATATTTCCAAAATAAATCTCTGAAGAAGTCTTTAAAAACACTAATGTTTATCCTATCATCGTCTAAGTCAGTGCTGGAATTTCTTAAATAAAAAGCATCAAAATATGACTACATTACATAAAGTGAAAGCAATATAATAATCATGAATACCTATTTATTCTCAATGCCTACATATCATTTTGCTTATGTATTACAATATATAATGCTGGCAAGATTTTGAATATCACCAAAGGATCAATAAAGTTTTATCTTAACTGATAATAATTTAAATGTGCTTAGTTACTTTCCAGCAGTGTTTCAGTGTTGTTTGAGTACACTGTGCTTATTGTTTTCAGGATGCAGGCTACTCTTGTGAGATGCTGGAATCATCAGTGCAGAGACACCAGTACCCTGAAGGAGATGTATGGAAACAGCTTAAAAACAAATAAGGACTTCATCTGAGACATTTAACAAAAAATGTGCTTAAGTCTAACAGTATAATAGACAAAAAAAATGCAAGAGTAGAAATGTAACAGAAACTTTAAGTGTGCTAGGCTTCTGTCAGACATAAGAATTATGTACAAATCCAGCTGACATTTAATTTACAATTTATAAAGGGAAAATGGCACAATTTACAAGAACTTGATACTTTACTAAATAAAATAATAAACATTTTATTTGAAAGAAATTAATTTTGCAACAAATGACACATAAAAAGCAATATGAATATAGATCTTCTAGGCGCGTTCCACACATAATAAACGGTTATTTTTACACAGCCATCTGCATCTTAATGGTGGGATGAGGGTTGTAGTCGCAGATCTCAAAGTCCTCTGCACGGAAATCATCGATGCTCTCAACTTTCCTCAGGATCTTCAGCTTGGGGAGGGGACGGATCTCCCTCTGAAGCTGCAAAAATAGACAGAAGTGTCATAATAATACATGGTATTTATATAGTGCTTTTCTTGGTGCTCAAAGATGGTTCACAAGTTAATAAATAAAGAATAGACTAAATAAACACCTAGACTAAGTGTAGGTTTGAATTAGAAAGCTGTCACCCAGTAACCCACCTGTACTTTTAGGGGTTCGATGTGGTTGATGTAGATGTGAGCGTCGCCCAGCGTGTGAACAAAGTCACCAGGCTGAAGATAAGGAGTAAAAAACAAACTGTCAGGTGAACGCAATACCAAACGCTAAAAGTGAGATTTGACAAAAGCACAGTGCTCTTACCTTGAGTCCAGTGATGTGTGCGATCATGTAGGTCAGAAGTGCGTAGCTGGCGATATTGAAAGGCACCCCGAGGCCCATATCACCCGAGCGCTGGTACAGCTGACAGGACAGCTCACCATCACACACGTAGAACTGACACAGGGCGTGGCAGGGGGGCAGAGCCATCTGGGTCAGGTCTACATGAGAAGGAGACATTCAAAATGATGCATCGCACTACAATCAGAGTCAAGGAGAACCTAAGAGCCGTTTAGGGATTTAAAATGTTGTTGATGCCACACCTTTTGGGTTCCATGCGCACATCATGATGCGTCTGTCCTCTGGATTGGTGTTGATGGTGTCAATGATATTCTGCAGCTGGTCAACACCCTGTCCTGTGTAATCTGTAAAAAACATTACATATTGGTTCTTTTGAGATCTGAGGCACAGTCATCTGTTATGAGTCTGCTCAAATTGATTTTTTTAAATAATATTTTACAAGTTGTGTCTTATTCACTCTTTTTCGAGGAATTTGAGATAAAAAAAAATACAGATGCATAAATCCTTCAAAATGAGAAAGTGGGATATACACTTAAACTATGTATCAAACAACAAAAAGTCAACTCTGGGCTGCTTTACCTGTGTGCATGTTTGTGTACTCGGCACCAAAGTGCCTCCACTGGAACCCGTACACAGGTCCCAGGTCGCCCTCCTCTCTCTCAGTGAACCCGAGCTTGTCCAGGAAGGCCCGGGAACCGTTGGCTTCCCAAATCTTCACCCCTTTCGCTGACAGCTCCTTGGCATTTGTTGATCCCTGTGATGACACAAAAAACTATAAAAACTGTTTATGTGGGTGGAAAGAAAAAGAGGTCAATCCTCACCTTAATGAACCACAGCAATTCTTCAAGGATCCCTTTCCAAAACACTCTCTTGGTCGTCAGCAGGGGAAACTGGTCTATGAATAAAAGCAGAGTTATTTGACATTAGACTAGTAGCCGTATAATACATAAAATGAAATAAAATCGGAAATGTACATTGTTACAGCAAAAAGTGAAGATAGAGACAAAAAAAAAGTTCAAAGTAGATTCTACTAATTTCACATGAGTGTAATTGCACAACAGTCTGGTTTGTTATATTATTGCACATAGGTGTAATTACAGTGAGTAATACCAGTGAGTCTACCAGGGCCATGCTGGTTGGAAAGCCTGATCGCTGCAGGGAGAGCGGACCTGTGAATATCTCTGTGAAACACCGCGGGGGAAGCAGCCTGTCACAGAAGGAGCTGAACAGTGCAGCGGACAGACAGTATGGCTGCCATTCTCCGGCAGCCATACTGTCTGCTCCCTGGATGTTCACTGGTGTGGCGGAGAGTGTCGGCGCCGTCTGAAATCCCATACCAGCTCCTTGGTCTTCCCTGTGTGGAGCTGGACGTTGTTCCTCTGGCACCAGAGGGTGAAGTCCTGGGTCAGTTCCCTGTACTCCCTGTTGTCCTCGTTGAAGATGAAGCCGACGATGGCCGAGTCGTCAGAGAACTTCTGCAGGTGGCACTGTAGAGGGTGAAGAGAAACGGTGCCAGCACCGCCCACTGGGGGGCCCCCGTACTGCAGATGATGGTGTCTTACTGACACTCCTTGGTCCTCACGTACTGCGGACGGTTGGTGAGGTAGTCCAGGATCCAGGCGATGAGATGGCGATCCGCCCCCAAGAGCTGCAGCTTGTCTCTCAGAAGCAGGGGCTGGATGGTGTTCCCCAGCCTTCTCCAGGTGAGAGAGGGACCTCTGCAGCAGGTAGATGACAGCGTCCTCCACCCCGATGTCAGGCTGGTAGGCGAACTGCAGCGGGTCCATCTATGTCCTCACACGGGGCCGAAGGTGTCCAAGGACCAGCCTTTCCAGGGTCTTCATCAGCTGTGATGTCAGCGCCGCCGACCGGTAGCTGTTGAGCGCGCAGGTATCACACATGACGTCTACCACAGTAGTGGTACCCCTTCCTTGCTTTAGGCTCAGGTTGAAGAGGAAGTCCACGACCCCACACACCTGATCTGCGCAGGATTTGAGGAGCCTCGAGCTGATGCCATCTGGACCTCGAATGCAGTACAGCAGGGGGGAATGGGGCCATGGAGGGGCGCCAGACTGGTCAAATCTGTTAAAGAAAATGTTCAGGTTGTTTGCCCACTGTTGGCCCCCCTGGACCTGAGAGTCTGGCTCTTTGTAGCCAGTGATGGTTTTTAGGCCTCTCCAGACTCAGCTGACATTCCTCTGCTGCAACTGTACCTCCATCCTCTTCCTGTAGCAATTATTATTACAAAAATCTGACCAAGCTATGGATAAGAAATGTTAACAGTTGAACATGTTCGTAATAAAGCAACCTGTCAGTTCTCCCTGGTGGAGAAACGATGTACTACTGATACCAGACATAACTTTGGCATTTCAGTACCACTCCACTAAAAATGCAGAAACGTTGTACTTCTTACTCCACTAGGTTCATTTTACAGCTTTAAGGACTTAAAGCTGCAGATTTAAAATGTTATAAGCAAAACTTCTTAAAAGCATGCACTGTTGATAAATTAAACTACTAATAGATCATTTATCTCGTAAAAAAATTATCTCAATCAAAGAATACTTGCTCAGAAGAACCTGTATACTTTTATTTTGCAGATAAATTTTGAATGCATGACTCATTTAGGAGTGGGAATACGTGTACGTGGCGGTGCATGTTGCAGTGTTCCTGAGTCGTGGATCCTTTGTAGTGGATCCTGAGTGCTTGATCACGATGCTTGTTGGTGCCTGTTGATGTGGTCCTGAGTCGTGGACCATTAGTAGTAGATCCTGAGGCTGCATCTCAGGTCGGTTAAATGGAATCCTTGCGTCTCATTCTCAAAACAAAAAAAACGCCATTCTTAAAATGTATAAACGAACAATAGTTAGATTAATATTGATTTGAGTGCAAAATACAAATAAAATAAGAAGAAAAGAAAAAGAGATATGTTATCTATCAAAACCCAGTTAGATTAACATTCATTGGACTGCACACTTTGTTTGGAAATGTAGCAAATGAACATTTTAATAGCACTTAATGACTGACTGGAAATGACAATAAATGAAAATGTAAAATGAAAAAAGCGATCATGAAAATGTTTCCAATAAATGAATAAAATTATTTTTGACCACTTTGTTGTTCAGATATATCACATATTTGTAACTAAATAATACATTAATTGAAACAAAACGGAGTATAAATTAACTGAGGACTGACTCCCGTGAGTTTCATGTATTTTCTTCACTCTGCTGGGAAACTGCTCTCATGTCAAGAAGCAACAGATCCTGGAGAATAGCATGCGCTGCATCGTCCAATCAGTGAGCGATACACAGTAAGGGGGCGGGGCGAGCGGCTGAGGATTTCACCGGAGGATGGTCTGGTAGTTCCTTGATTATCGCTCCTCCATTGTCGCTCCTCCGACAGAAATCAACTTTCGGTGATACCGAGGAACGAGGAAATGAAAATAACCGACTTGAGATGCAGCCTGAGTCGTGGGTGTGCCTGTGTTCTTCTGGCCTGTTGCTCACCTTTTCTTTCTCCACAGTATTGTTGACATCCACCTGGATTCATCATCTTCTTATTTATAGACAAATGCATGTTCGAGCATTTGGACTACCTATGTTGCAAGTGTTTTATGCACGCGACATATGACACGTCTGTCCGTCATGGGAGAGGGATCCCTCCTCTCACTCTCCCCGAAGTTTCTAACATGTTTCCCCATATTCTGTAAAAACGGTTAAGTCCACTGAGACAAATGTAAAATGGGAGTTATTGGGTTATATGAATACACTTCGATTAATTGATACTTCAAATGAAAGGAAAACCTCCTAAACAATTGTTTGTTAGAATAATAATAAGTACACATGCATAATAAACTAATACATACAGAACAATAAAGGGTATAATGTGACAGACCTCGCAAGCTGTATCTAGCCTGAGCCCCGAACACAGACACTACTCCAGTCCCGGTTCTGTCCCCCTTGGTTCGGCCGTTCTGCATGATGTATTCAATCTGATCCAAATACCCGCGTTCATCACAGAAAACACCAACGTTCTTCTTCTTGTCCTCCTCCACCGACGTCTGGGTCTGTTTCGCCGTCTCCCAGCCCTGCGATACGTGTATTTTTGAAGTAGCAGGCATGTTGAGGGAATAAGAGTATTTGACAGACGGAGCTGTTTAGTTTGAGTTGAAGCGGTAGTTTTTCCCGGGTAATTTAACTCAACTCAACTCTCGCGAGAGTAGTTGAGTAGTACGCCCCCTTTACAACAAAAACTCAGACCGGAACAGATTCACTTTTGCCTGCCAAAAGGGACTCAGAAAGACAAATACAATTATAGAAATAATGAAATAAATAAATTATACTTAAAAAACAAAACATAAGTAATTTCAGTAATTTAAAACAAGTAAAATGTGGAAAAACGGAAACATTGGAAAAAAATCAGATTTTCAACACGTTTTAGTTATATTAACTAAACATAAATTCATTAACTGTATAGTACCACATTTATTTATAATTACGGTAATTGTAATTTCTCAATGCTGTTGTATCCACATTTAAATTGCAGTACAGTTTTTAAAGAATTAGTTTCAGTTGTGTAAGATCCAACAATCAAGGCAGTAAACTTAAATATTCCATATAAGCACATTTCATTTTATTTAAATTGGGTGCACTGCCAGGCAGTGGCGGTTCTAGACCAATTTGCCTGGGGGGGGGCCAGGCTGGGGCCAGTTATTTTCTGAGGGGGGCACAATAAATGCAGGACAAAAAAGACGAAGACAGTAAGTAATTGCGCATACACCTAAGAAAACAATGCAATACAGTTATTGGTATTTGTTTCATTACACATTATTATATGCTTACCTTTGTGTGCTGTTTGGGTCTGTGGGACCCGTTTTCAGTGTTTACTAAAAGAAAATGTATGCAATTTAATTATTTTAACCTGCTTTATTTGGGGGTGGACCTAACCTTGTCTAGGGGGGTCCCGGGAAGATTTTTTTTTTTAAATGTTGAAGTTAAATGCATCAATCTGGTGCACTTTGAGCACAAAATAAATGTATGGATACAGCTCTCAACACTCATATGAAAGAGAGCTGTATACTTTTCAATAATCAAAAAATCTTTAGAATATGATCACAACCAATAACAAATCATTTAAACTTGTTTATTCTTATCTTATGTTACCTATAGTATTCTTTCTTTTTATTTATGCATATTTTACTAATCACTCCCCTTTCAAACTGTTTTTATTATTTTTTTTACTGTCCTATAGTACACATTGGAATGATTTCTTTATTTTTTACAACACATTAAATAGATAAAGGTGTGCTCTATCTAGCTCTCTCTCTCTGTCTCACTCGCTCACAGAGGCTGTGTGCTCCTCTGTGGTGATGACGGCTTGCGTTAAATTAAAAAATATATATTTGTAAAGTGGGGGCTATTGAAGGCTTGCGAGATACCGGTAGCTCGTGATCGACGTGTTGGAGACCCCTGCTCTAATGGGTCCGACTAGAATGACAAATATCGTTACTTCCGCCTATTCCGTCAGCCAATAAATCGTTTAATCATAAACTTTAAAAAAAAAAAAATACAATAACAAGATTCTTTGACAGCCAAAATAATAATATATATTTTAAAGCTCTATTATACAGTCAGGTCCTATGTCTTTGGTTAGTTTTGTAATTTCGATTTCAGGGATCAAGTCTATTATTTTAAACACAATACAAGTGGCTTTTTGGGGAAGAAATTCACATTATCTAAAAAAATAAAAAGTAATAAAATGCATTTGCCACACAGGAACCTTCAAAACATTCCGGATCACCTACTGTAAGTTAAAGTGTAACACATTCTACACTTCTACCAACGTACTGTGATCACACTGAAGATGTTGTGTGGGCCCGTTGTGCTGTTTAACAGCTGGCTGACCCAGCACAGCCGGTCCTGCATGTTGCTCAGCCACCTCTGTGTGTCCGCTGTGTGTCTCTGCACCAACTGCAGCGTGTCGTTGTACTGCTGCTGGGAAGCGTTGAGCAGCAAGTGCATCTCCTCCACCTCAGAGTGTAACTGCTGGACACTGGGTCACTCCGTGAGTACAAATGATCACATAGAGAGAACACACAAATCCATGGTGTGCATCGTGAACTCGAAGACATTTTTTAACTGTCCGCCTGGGCAAAAAAGCGTGTTATTTGAGGTTGAGGTCCTTTTTGCAATAAGCACATACATGGTGAGCTAAATAGATTTGGAATGATCTCTTCATTATTTACCTTTTAACAGATCATCTTCACACGTCTCGCACAAATGTTGGAGTTGCAGACTGGGCTATGGTTTCAGACAGAGGGTGAAAAGCAAGGAGACATGTCACAGTAGATGCACTAAGGATAAGAAGTGGTTGGAGCCTTCACACAAAGCCCTTTTATTTTGAAACCATTAAAAACAAAATGACAGTAAAACTTCAACCCTGATAGGCCCACTCCCACAAGGATGTGTCACCCTCTGCTTTGATGTCTGTCTGCGTGGCTTTGACTTTATGAGGCAGAAACAATGTATTGGGTTTCAGAATATCGCACAAAGACTGGCATGGAACTGTTCAACTACACTGTTCTTCAAGTGTGTTTGAATACAGCCTGACTTCTTGGTATTTTCATGTGAAGAAACACAATTTATACCTTCTTCTTGTCAATGCTGTGCCACAGGGCGTCCATGAGATGCCTGTGCTTCTCCTCTTTTTTCTCCATCGTTTCCTTCACCCGCTTCACCCCGAGTAACACTCGCTTTACCTCCTCATCAACACACTGCTCTCCTGCTGCAGACAGCTCTACACACACAAAGAGACATGTCGTTATTCACCAATATAAGTAAGAAAAAGTACTGTAGGTTTTTTATAGATGAAGGCCTCACTTTTCAGCATGTCCTCGCTCAGTGGAGAAGAATCAGCTGCAGAGAGCAGGACTTCAGTAATGCAAATCATTTTAAAAAGCAACCTCTTCATCTTGTCTTGAAAAAAGGAAATCTTTCTCATTATTCTGTCACCACACAGCACCAACAAAGACAGGCTTTGATTGTACTAACTTTAATGGAATATGTAATGTATCTTCCACAAGGTGGTGCCATTTCTTAAGGAGTTACATATAGAGGCCGTTTCAAAAAATTAATACAACATAATGTGCAACTCATTATCCCAATGTTCATTTATTAGCATGGATTATCACATCAGTGTGGAGCAAAATAAACAAGATTACCGGAAGAGATTTCCATTAACTACAGCTACTGCAGTAGGACTAATTCCCATTACATAATAAGGATAATAGCAACTTAATTATTTATAAAGAAATGAACACAATTACATTAATTTCTATTTTTGCAAAAGTGTGCAACTGTTACTTCTATTGAAACAATGCATACATTTCTGAGTTCATTATTATTCATTATTCATTAATAGAAAAAGACAAAAATAGAACATGAATCAGCAAAAACTGGCTCTGAGGCCACCTTCATTGAAGAAATGTGTCATATTGCAATGTCTTTCTCAATCATAAATATGTTCATCAACTTAAAAAACACTGACCAGTTTTGTAAATTTCCCTGCATCAATGCATGTGTCCCAAAATAAATCAAAACAGAACATTTTAGCTGTACTTGCTGCTACCAAGGATCCTTTTAAAGGGTGGATTTGTGGTTATTCTAGATGCAAAACAGAAACAAAATGACTTGCAAAAGCATATTTACCTTGATAACTTTGCAACACAAGACTCCAGAACAGAAGCAGCAGGTTTTGCTGTTGGAGAGTTGAGAGTGAGGTGCCTGCTTCCTCTAAGGATTGTTCTATTTGTATGGATCTATTCACAAGCACAGATCCTATTGGTGTGTTTGCATTATTAAGCCTTAGCACAACACATCAATGTCGTTAAGGGCAATTTTAGCGCAGTGGAGAAATGACGTGCTCAATTGTTTGCAGGTCTATCTCATTTAATTGTTCCCCTGCAGACTCCTCAGGTCAGACGTTCTGCTCTAATCTCCATCAGACTGACAGTAAGCCTGAGCTTCCTGCAGAGACCTGGCACAAACTGGAGTTAGGCTTTGCTTTGTACTGTAGGCCACAGAAAGTGCAAAAACAACTTTAAAGTGGACGCTAATGTCACTTTTCTCAAACTGTATAATTAAATCCTGGATCATACATCCTTCTGTGAGAGAAAAAGCAACATTTCTTTCTTTCTTTCATGCCTCTAGCACCAGCGACTGTCCTGCTGCACACAAGACAATCTGAGTTCTTATCATGCTATCTAAACATGGCAGCAACAGCAGCGTGGTAAATGTGGAATTCCTGTGTGCTTTCTCAGTTCTCTGTTAATCTGAGCCCACTGCTAAAAAGCCTTGACCCAGCAAATGAGGTCCCAACCCCTGAATGAGGACCAGCAGGAGCAGGGCTGGTAAGATACCTGACCCTCAGCAGCTTTTTATCAGCCCGCCGGGCACGATCCCTATCTGGCTCCTAATACCAGCCTGCTGCTCCAATTATGGCCGACAGTAAAATAACAGTTTTGAAGCCTTTAGGAAAACAAGTAATTAGCCGATTTATCATCTCAGGCTGGTCTGGAAACTAAGATGTTGAGGCCTGGGTCAAACTCCAGCTATTAGCACTGAGCCGAGGTTTGAAGGCTCTGTTATCCAAAGAGAGAAGAAAAACAGATCTGAGTTTGATGTCTGTGTCACGTTTTTTCCTTGAAACTCAAAGGGTTTTAGAGCTTGGACGATTGGTGTTATCTGTATCTTTTCCTGTAAATCAATGCAATATAACCGAGGGATGCTAACCTGCTCTGTGGAACCATGAGTCTGTCTTAGATCTAGTCTGATGCAGCTGTTGTTAAGCCTTTGATCAGTGATCTGCATCTGCAGGCCGGAGAGATTATGGACACAGGAACTGTTGACATTTTCACAGCACCTGGAGGAGTCAAAGGGGAAACGGCCACTGCTGCCTAATTATGATGGACCGTGGTCAGTATTGGAGTCCATGGGGACTATTTTATGTAAATTGTTGTTTTAACTAAAAGTAAACAATGTAAAGATCTGTATCACCCAGTGAAAAAGTAAGGAGGAATAATATGTATCACAGCAGAGAAAATGAGTCTGGTTTCATGTTGCAAACCCTAAAGGGAGATAAAGGCCAGAGTTAATTTATAAGTTAAAAAAAATAAAGTATATTTATATCATTAGGTACGTTTTTGCTATAATGATGTCCAAAAATGTTGTTTTTATCAAACAAATTAGAATGGATACTTAATTTATGAAATCAATTTACTCCAAGAATACTATTGTCTTATTTTCTTGATTTTTGTAAAGCTTTTTCTTTGTTGTACAGATATTTCTAGCAATTTCCATAAAAAAACTAGACCACATTGAAATAATTTAACTGTACCGTTTTCGTATCTATTCTTTATGGAGGATTTATAAAAAGGTCTTGAAAATATGTAAATGTTAGCAGTATTACAGGAATGTGAGATTATTGTGATAATTCAATTGATAAAATACCCCAAACCACATGAGTAACATATCATGGAGAACCATATGGACCTAAAGGAATATCGTATGAAAGTGATTTTCTGCCTTAAAGGAAATGAGATGTGAATATGTAAAAACACAGGAACTGCACTGAAATGTCGCGTTTCGGTGTCGCTCCACCTCCCCAAACCTTTGAAATTATCTCTAATGGGTACCAGATTTTCACCCGGGGACGCGATTGCCATCAACCCCCAGTAACTTAATCTCATCTCCGGCTGGATTACTGCAGCCCCGCACGACGGCCCGGGGTCTGTCCGCACCTCCTCCATCCCCACAGGGGGAGACTCAGCAGGGGGGGGGGGGGGGGACAGGCACTGGTATGACTTCAAAAACCTCAGCTGGACAGTGGTTGAATCCAAACCTGGTCCAAACTAAAGTGTGGACGATTTAAAGTTACAAAGAGAAAGCTAGAGAGAACATTTGGGGAAACCGGATGTCATGCACTTTAGACTCCAAAATAAGAGTTTGGTAGGTTAGCGTTTGTTTTAGGGTAGACGTGCTGTGGGGTTGAATATAAGCAGATATAGATAAAACAACCATGTGTTTTGGACATTTACTTGAAGCACATTTATGGCCGTGCATATGTGGTTAACTGTGTTGCATCTAGGTTAACTTTAGGAGTTCTACTGGCTTTATTGTAGTAAACTTCGGAAATGGTTACATTTTTTGTACAAATTAAACACTGTAGCAACACCTGTTCAATGGTAAGCTGTACTTAGCTTTAGATTGAATTGTGTTATGTTTGCTTTATTACAGTGTTACGAAACAAAAAACGATTCAATTCTGAAAGCAACACCGGAAGTTGATTGTGTTTCTCTGTGTAATTTAACACTTGTAGCACGTCTTCCTCCTTCAGGCTCAGGGAACATCACATCACTCCTGCAAAAACTCCTCTCAAACTAAGCGAGCAACAGGACAGAGAAGATGGGATTTTAAACTGAAGACTCGACATGAAGACATACTTCTAGTTTCCTTGCATACGTTTGGGTCGTTTTCTGCGGAGCAAGTTTACACCTTTGCACTGGATGCTGAGATGCGCAGAAAGTGACAGGGGTCCTCATCTCTTCTTCAGTGCTCAACGAGTTATAAAACGCCATGAAAGGTATGTTTCCTTTACGTGTATTTTATCCCTAAAGTGTGTTTCCCCCCAAACGCTCAGATTACACCTATATTTCTGTGGGTATTTATGTGTGGTGCGCAATTCACATCTGGATGAAATTACGGTACTGCGGTGCAGAAGTTGTGAAATACTTGGAAGTCTCTTTTTTCCGTCCACTACTTGCATCTCATTCAAATGTATATGCACCAAATCATGTTTGCAGATTAAGGCTGCGTAAAGGATTTATTTTTGAAAACTGGTTGAAGTTGGGAGAATTGAGATGCTGCTTCCATTCAACTTTACTTACCATTGTTAGGAAAAGTTCCTCAGTGGCAGATGACCAGTGAACGCATCTTGTAGTCTCTGATGTTTAATTACAAGCCAATTAGTAGCATTTGACAGCATATTATTTGACTTTGAGCACCTTTAAATAAAATTTCTTATTCATTTAAAAAGTTTAAGCTGAGTTGATATAGCACCCTAACCCACTCTGACCCCCACACACTAACACACACTCAGCTCATCCCTCCCTGCCTCCACTGTCTCCCCCGCTCAGTCCCATCTGTTTACCATTACCGGTGATGTTCTCTGTGCTCTGCTCCAGTCTTCAGTAAAGTGCAGCACAGTGTAATTAGGGTAACTGTCAACAATGCAGAGAAACCGCAGCCTGTGGCTTTTACAGCTCTCTGGACCTCCTATCTCCACACACACACACACACACACACACACACACACACACACACACACACACACACACACACACACACACACACACACACACACACACACACACACACACACACACACACACACACACACACACACACACACACACACACACACACACACACACACACACACACACACACACACACACAAACACAGACTATAGAGGATACCCTACTATCTTCAACCAAACGCCTTGTTGGCTGTCTCCACTCAAACAGAGATCATTGGACTGAAGGATTACATGATACATTCTTGGCTATGTGCAGTTGCCCTGTAGTGTCTGTTTTATTTAGTTTGAAATATTGCATTATTTATAATTATTAGATTCATTTAATCAGAGCTATCAATACCCAGCACAAACATTTCCAATCAAACAAACACACTTACAAAAGATGTACACACAAGAAGAAAAAGAGTATAGACTAGCTGAGTCATGATATTGTGGGACACAATGTATGTATCCTCAGTAGCGCACATATGACCTACTCATGTTTTGTTTCTGATTATGTCACACAGACGACTTTGCAGACGAGGAGGAAGTACAGTCTTTTGGATACAAGAGGTTCGGTGAGTGAAAAAGTGATTTTTCTTAAAATAAGAGCGCAAACTTGAAACACTTTGAACTTTTGATTGTTTTCAGACTAAAATGTTGTCGATAATAGCTACAACTGTTTGGCATTTTTATTTTTCCTGTTGTTTTTCTTAAATTACCTTAGTATTTATAGGCATGTCGGACTAATTTAATGTTCTCGCGGGCACAGAAGACGCATCAGGACAGATAGCAGATTGCCAGAGTTAGCTTTGTTGCTAACAGTTCTGCAGGGTTTGGGTTGAACATAAGTGTGGCTGACAGTCTGTGAGGTCCGGCTCACCGCAGGCCCAACGACCGCTGTCAGAGCTCACCAGATCAAGAGGTTCCAGAAAATCTCTTCTCTCTTTCATCCACTTAAACTGAGTCTCTCAAACGCGTTGACTCACACAAACATGTCACGGGACCTCAACAAATGTGGAGTTACTCAAATTGCAGTCAATGTACGGTAAATCTTTCTGTTGTGGTGCAGACGGGGTTCACATGCATTTGGTCTGTGTACAAGTGTAACACATGCACCACGAAAGCCCTGTAGCTTAACATTTGGATTCTAAACCTTTGAAATGTAAAGCCCACATCTGAAGACAACTTTCCAAATAAATGAGAACAAAAACATAATATGGCATGAAACAAACTGGGCTTTTAATATGTTATGCCACTGTCAACTTAAATCCCCAAATAAATATTCTGCTTACCCTCACACATCACTGCCTGCCATTTTGTAATGTATTCAGGGTCATATTATATCTTTACCACATGCTTATGAGCTTGTATTGGCTCAGGGTTGTCTCCCACATCATTCGTTTAAAAAAACTATCCATTTTGTGTCACTGCATGCGAGGGAACTTTAGCTAAGTTTTAGGTTTTTTTCTATTTCATGATGCGTTGTGATTGATGTATTCTAAAACGCATTCAGATATAAAAGAAAGCTTTGTATGTTAGCCAAAAAAAATTCAAGCACCACAGTAACTGGTTTACATTAGCTGCCTGGCTTATCGTGAATACAAAGGACGTTTTCCCATTGGACTTGTACACTGGAAGTGACCCAGACAGACCAGAGTGATAAAGATAAACAAGGGTCAGTTCACACAAATTACAAACACTTACCTCGAGTGGCATCCGGCCATGCAACCAGTGTTGGTTGTGTTTGTTCAAGTTATTTTAACAAATAGTTCATATGACCGATAATTTTGTGGAGATATGTCTTTATGTACATTTGGCAAACTTACCCTTTAAAAATTCTTCTTCCATGGCAACTCAAATATGATAAATTCTGTCATTTTCTCTTGTTCTTCTTAATGCAAGAAGCTCACAAAGTTTACAATTGATTTAATAAATGCACATTTGTAGATCTTACATGCTGTATTTATGATCGTTAATCACAAATACCTTTTTCAGTCAGTATGTTTAATTAATCCTCCAGTTGTTTGCTGCGGTTTTATTTAGGCATAAGTTCACCATCAAGAACATGCATTCATGCTTTTGGATGAAAAAAGAAAAAAACTGGCAGCAAAGGTCAAATGCTGTGTCACACACACACTCAAACACATCATTAGTAATTTCCTTGGAGACGGAGCGTGTGCTCCATCACTGTTCTGCTGGTTGAACACTGATTTGGGATCAGGAGCCTGTGTGTCTCTGTGTTTATGGTGTTGCTGCAGCATGAGTCATTCACACACAATTCGGCAGATGTCCATGAGAGTGGACATGAGGCAGTGGACTGCAGCACCAGCTGAGAGGAATTCAAACTGTGTTAGAACATAATCTCTTTTATCCCAGTCACCCGAGTAGAAGCATCCTGTTTGTCTTTCTGTGTGAGCGCGTGCTGTTCCCACTCATGGATTACATTAGAGAGCTACAGGCGCCCAGCCAAATCACACTCACTTTTAACTTTATTCAATTGAACTCTTGACATTCGGAAGAGTAGGAAGAGAGCGCTGCTGAACTCTGGATGAGTGTTGTTGGCCCTCTCAGGGGAACGGCAGCTGTTTGGAGGGGCTGGCTCCGAGGGTCCTCCTCCTCACCACTCCAGCGGCTTTGTTGTGCAAACCATCACAAACCCCCATTCTTCCACTATTAGCACTGTAATCTCAGTGCTCAGGGGGAAACAAGCAGTTATTTCCAGATCCATGTTTTTGCTTTAATTCATTGCTTTCTCCCAGGAGGCTGATAGTGTTTCAAACTCTGAGATGTGTCAAAGCTGTTGTACAAATCGGTGTCATTACTGAGAACACTCAATCAATCTTGCTAGTTTAAGAAGGGAACAAGGATAAAAACTAAAAAGTGCGTATGATAACAGTAGACTTCCAGTGGACTGGACAATTCCAAATTGTTTGGCGCAAACATGTGCAACTCTGTTGTCCTTAAGCAAGAAGGATGATAAGGATTGTTAGCTTTTAGTTTCCTTTGCTTCAAGGTTTGATTGTTGGCTTCAACTTCCATGAAATTTGTTTGCGAAGATGTTACGCACATTCTTGCATTATAAAGCCGAATCTGTAATATCAACACATGTAACAAGCAGCTAGATTTAGTGTGACAGTGTTGTTGAAATATCACACACACACACACACACACACACACACACACACACACACACACACACACACACACACACACACACACACACACACACACACACACACACACACACACACACACACACACACACACACACACACACACACACACACACACACACACACACTTGTTGAGTGAATTCATCTGGTAATCCCATCCCTCTCCCTGCCAAGTTTATCCGGGCCGGAACTGCTTCCACTGTGCTCAAGCTTTAAACATATTTATTTTTCAGTGGGGGTTGACATAAGAAGGCCATCAGAATAAAAATGAAAATCAACCTGAGCTTTGGCTGAACTCTTGCAGCCCCTTCAGAGCTGGTATACTCATTGATCATTGGCAGTCAACACTCACCCCTTTGCATGACTCAAACCAGGAGTCCTCCAGTTACAAAAAAGCTACAACTGTCACCGGCTCACCAAAGCTGGACAATGTAAGTTCGGAAAACGACCTCTTGTCCAAAAAGCCTGAGTTTTTTTGGTGCTTTGGATCACTTAGTACCAATTGATCATTATTCAATTACACAGGCTGATTGTGAAAATGTCTAGACCAAAGTGGAATAACAGAACCACAAGCTAATTTGTGTTCACTTTATCTGACTTATTCAGTATTTATTGCGCTCTCTCTCTACATGCAAATAACTCACAGCTAATTACAAGAAGATCAGGCTTCTGAACTATGAAAATCAGGAAATAACTGCCAGCGATATTGGCCCATGAAATGCTAATGGCAGCCATTGGAAGCATTGTAAGACAGTGGTAGGATTTTCCTAAACAAGATATTTATGTTTTTGATGGACAACAAAAACGTACAAGGTTTTTAGATTCAATACAGGGCAATTGTTTTTTTCTAATAGCATAGCAAAGTTAAGTCTCAATCCTTTGTTTAAGCTAGCATAGCAAGTTAGCAAACAAGTCGAAAGGATCTAAGCCGAATTGTATATTAACTTATGTTGTAGCAGTTATAAACATGTCATGTTGGATCATATTGCCTTTCCTAATTTATTGTTCAAGAATAATTTGGAAAAACTAGATTTCCCAAGGGGGTATCCTTTAAATAGATGAATGCAAATCTAATTAGAAATACATAAAACAGATTGAGGCAAAGTCAGTGAGCCAAAAAGTGAATTGAATGACCCGCTGTGAAATTAAAGTTGCTCTAAACATTACGTATTGATAAAAAGTGCCAGAATATCATTATATATATATATAAATAACAGAAGAAAATTACAACAGCTATAGAAAGAAAGAAATACACAATAGGTGTATTTATTGACTTAAAAAAGGCATTTGACACCATAGACCATTACCTATTAATTTTGAAATTACATAGATACGGAGTGAGAGGAGTAGTTCTAGATTCGTTAAAAAGTTATTTAGATAACAGACAACAATATGTAGAATTTGCTGGTAGTACATCGGAGTGTATGAACATAGAATGTGGTGTCCCGCAGGGCTCGGTTTTAGGGCCTAAACTTTTTATTTTGTACATCAATGACATATGTGAAACGTCAACATTATTGCAATTTGTGTTGTTTGCAGACAACACACATTTATTTTGTTCAGGAGATGATTTAAACATTTTAGCAAAGTGTATTGGACATGAAATGGTCAAACTTAAAAGATGGTTTGATGAAAATAAGTTTACCCTAAATTTGAATAAAACGAAGTTTATGGTTTTTGCTAATAGAAAAAAAGATGAAAACATTTCACTGTCCATTGATGGAGTTTTTATTGAAAGGGTTTCTGAATTTCGATTCTTAGGTGTGACGCTGGATGAAAACCTGACATGGAAATCACACATAGCACATGTTAAAACGAAAATGTCTAGGAATATTTCTGTTCTAAACAAGGCAAAGTATTTGCTAGATTACAAGGCATTGAGGATGTTGTACTGTTCACTCATTTTGCCATTTTTCATTTATTGTATAGAAGTGTGGGGCAACACGTATATGAGCAACATAAAGCCATTGTCAATATTACAGAAAAGGGCAGTACGAATAATTCATAAAGCTGACTCAAGAGAACACACCAACAGACTGTTTTTTAAGTCAGGACTCTTGAAATTCAAAGACAGCTGAGCTGCAGACATTATCAGTAATGCACAGGGCAAAAAGCAGAATGTTACCAGCATGTTTACAACAGTTGTTTGTTTTTGGATCAGACAAGGAAGACCACAGAAGGGAATTAAATTTTAAGCATCCATATGCAAGGACTACTCTTAAACAAATGTGTATTTTGGTAGTTGGTTGGTAATTGTGGAATTCTCAACACAAGGATCTAAAGAATTGTATTTGCATTTTTCAGTTAAAGAAGTTGTATACATTAAGAAAGATGGGACTATATGAAGCAGAATGTGAATAAGTCTATGTACTCTGGTCCTTCATGTTTTTGATGTCTTTGAT